TTGCTGTCTCCCTGCAGGGCATCAGCGATGGGGTGGCCCTGGTGCAAGCCGTGGTCCCCAAGAACCAGGCGCATTCCTTCATCACTCAGGGATCACCCGACGTCCTGGTGAGTGTGGGAAAACTGAGGCACGGGTGACCCTGGTGGGGTGACCCTGCTGACCTGGGGGGGACCGAGACCGAACCCCAGGAGAGCTCCAGTGGGTGGGAGCTGCGTCACCTCCATCTCCACCTCTGCCCAGGTCACCGTGAGTGCCAACGGCTTGTTGGGGACCCACAACTGGTTGCCCTATGACAAGAACATCTCCAACTACTTCAGCTTCACCAAAGACCCCACCGTCTCCAACGCAAAGTGAGTTAACGCATGGTCCCCGGGGACGGTCCCCAAAGGTGCCACCATCCCACCCATGGCTCTGCCACCATCCCATGTCGCTCCCCACCAGGACCCAGCGCTTCCTGCAGGGCCCCTTCGCCCCTGGCGCGGACCTGTGCTCCCGCACGCTGGCCGTGTCCCCCGACGGGAAGCTGCTCTTCAGCGGGGGACATTGGGACAACAGCCTCCGCGTCACCTCGCTGGCTAAAGGGAAGGTCGTTGGGCACATCACCCGGCACATAGGTAAGTCCTCCTCTGATGATGAAGGTCCGATGATGCCCCAATGGGTTTGTAGGGGGGAGGCAGAGGACGTGGGAGCGGGCAGGGGACATCTCCCAGTGTCCCTCGTCTTCTGGGGACAGTCCAGGCTCCATCGCAGAGCCAGGCTGGGGTTAGGGTCAGCAGCATCTCCACACCCCAAAACACGTCTTGGTGCCATCCCACGGGGTTGGGGTACCAAGCGCGGTGGGACGGGACCAGCAGCTCATGTCGGTGTCACAGATGTTGTCACCTGCCTGGCGCTCGACCTCTGCGGCATCTACCTCATTTCTGGGTCCCGGGACACCACCTGCATGGTGTGGCAGGTCCTACAGCAGGTAGGGATAAGTTGACCCTTGTCCCCGCGCTCCGGATGGGGTGGCTTGCAGTGGGCGCTGCCACCAGGTCACTGAGGTCCCCGTGTCCCCAATACCAGGGTGGGTTTTCCAGCGGCTTGGCTCCCAAACCCGTCCAGGTCCTGTACGGCCACGATGCCGAGGTGACGTGCGTGGCCATCAGCACCGAGCTGGACATGGCGGTGTCGGGCTCCAAGGTGAGCTGGGGTGGTGCCCCCCCATGGCCGTGGGGCCGGAGGGGCAGGTGGTCGCCCAGACCGCCGTGGGTCAACGAGCCTGCTTGAAGGTACGGCCGGGTGCCCCTGCGTCCTCCCCCCTCACCACCGTCAGCGTCTGTGTTCCCCCCTCTTCGCTCTGTCTTTCAGGACAGGTTTGCGCTGCACCTCTACTCGGTGAACGGGAAGCACCTCTCCTCCGTCCCACTGGACGAGGAGGTGACGGCCATGTGCCTGACGGAGGAGTTCGTGGTGCTGGGGACCATGCAGTGCGGGCTGGAGATCCGTGACCTCCAGAGGTGAGGGCTAGCACCCACCTTGTCCCACCCCAACCACCCCCTTGGGGTGCCCGGGGGGCTCGAGGGGTCCCATCCCACCACTCGTCTTCTCCCAGCCTCAGGGCGGCCGTGCCCCCCGTGCCCATGCGGGTGCCCGTCCACAGCGTGTCCGTCACCAAGGAGAAGAGCCACATCTTGGTGGGGTTGGAGGACGGCAAGCTC